AGACAAATCAAGAGAGACAAAATCTGAAATTAGGGAGACAAAGAACATATCAGAAACGCAAATAGACTAATCCAGAATTCACTAACAAGATATAGAGGGTATTGAGATTAGATGACTTTCAAATCAAACCTTTCAACCAGCTTTGATTCTCAAATACAGAACCTCCCTCTACATCTTATGGATCTGCGAAGACCTCAATCTCTCAACTCCTTCATTGATATCTATTTTTTGATGATTTTGTAGAGAGTTTCATGAGGGTGTTTTAGAGAGTGCATGAGGGTTTCAAGGAGGGAGAGATAAGGTTTTCAGAGACAGGGGAAAATTTGAAAATTTGTCGAGCGCGAATTTACTTAAGTAGCCTTTTTTTAGCGTGTTTTAAAAGACGACGCTTATTAATGAGAGATAAGGTTTTTAAAGACGGGTGAAAATTTAAAAATTTGTCGAGCGCGAATTCACTTAAGCGACCATTTTTTAGCGTGTTTTAAAATACGACACTTTTTTAAAAAAGATCGTCATCTTTACTTCATAATAGACGACCTTTTTTTTAAAACAACCGTCATCTTTAGTATAATAGATGACTTTTTATATAAAAAAAACCGTCATTTTTACTTCATAATAGAAGACCATTTTTTAAACAAACCATCATCTTTATATTTAATAGACGACCCTTTTTTAAAAAAAAAACCGTCATCTTTACTTCATAATACACGACTCTTTTTTAAACAAATCATCATCTTTACATTTAATAGACGACCCTTTTTTTTTTTTTTTAAACAGTCATCTTTACTTCATAATAGACGACCATTTTTTAAACAAACCATCATCTTTCCATATAATAGGCGACCATTTTTTTAAAAAAATCATCATCTTTACTTCATAATAAACGACCTTTTTTTAAACAAATCATCATCTTTACATTTAATAGACGACCTTTTTTTATAAAAAAAAACCATCATCTTTACTTCATAATAGACGACCATTTTTTTTAAAAAAACCATCATCTTTACTTCATAATAGACGACCCTTTTTAAAACAAACTATCATCTTTATATATAATAGACGACCCTTTTTTTAAACAAACTGTCATCTTTACTTCATAATAGACGACCCTTTTTAAAACAAACCATTATCTTTACATATAATAGACAACCCTTTTTTAAAACAAACCGTCATCTTTACTTCATAATAGACGACCCCTTTTTTAAACAAACCATCATTTTTACATTTAATAGATGACCTTTTAAAAAAAAAAAAAAAAAACCATCATCTTTACTTCATAATAGATGACCCTTTAAAAAAAAACCGTCATCTTTACATATAATAGACGACAGTTCTTTCAAAATAACCATGTCTTTACCTAAAAAAGGACACTTCATTTTTAAAAGACGACGCTTGTCATACCGGCTGTCATTGTTTTTTAGTCAGATTTTAACTCTGAAGAAAACTTTTTTAATAAGACGACGCTTTTTTATTTGTGTGCGTCGTTATAAAAAAAATATTCAACAGTACCTCCGTTTTTTAGTTGTTTAAGTCACTTATCCACGACCTTTTTTGTTACCGTCGTCTTTTTAAACATAACGATGGTTTTTTCTTTTACCGTCGTCTTTTTCTGGTCATCTTTTTCACTTTTTGTAGTAATGAAAGGACCTGAAGTCTCTAAAGAAGATAATTCAAATGAAAATTTATGAC